ATGTGTCTGTTGTTATCCTTAGGGTGCAAAGAAGAGTGCCATAGGGCAGCGCATTGTAGCAACGTTGCCGTACATCAAACAGGAAGTCCCCATCATTATTGTCTTTCGTGCCTTAGGGTTTGTCTCTGACAGAGACATCTTGGAGCATATAATTTATGACTTTGAAGATCCTGAGATGATGGAAATGGTAATATTTATTGATTTTATCTATTTATTACTATTTATTTACTGTATTAATACCCCACCCTTCTCACTCCGAAGGGTACTCAGAGTGGCTCACAAAAAAGGCAAAATTTGATGCCGCATATACATACAAAGAACAAAACAAAACATATACATTAAAACCAAAAAGTTAAAACATCTCAATTTTATCTACTGATTTTTGACACAGAGTAGTGTGTGTTTTGGAAATACAATTCTCTAATATTATGAAAGCTAAAGTACAAAGTTGATTGCAAATAATTTAAATTTTATGGACCACTTTTATGAACATAATATTTGTTGTATTTAACTGATATATATTTCAGGAAGCTTAGGCTGATAATACCATTTTTTCTTTCTGTGTGTATCAGGTTAAACCTTCTTTAGATGAGGCATTCGTCATCCAGGAACAGAATGTTGCCCTGAATTTCATTGGTTCAAGAGGCGCAAAGCCTGGTGTCACCAAAGAGAAAAGGATCAAGTATGCAAAAGAAGTTTTGCAGAAAGAGATGCTTCCACATGTTGGTGTCAGTGACTTCTGTGAAACCAAAAAGGCTTATTTTCTTGGGTATGTCAAAATAAGCAATATCGTCACACATGGAAACTGTTTCTTTTACAAGCATAACACAAGCCACACAATTTATCCATATAATGTATTGTTTGATTTTTTTTTTAAAAAAACCTGCTCTAAATGATGTCATGTAAAACAAAATGTATTTACAATTTCATTTGGTGTTCAGCCAAGGGTAATTTGATAGATAAAACAACTGAATGCTTTATTGCAGATAAGCAAGATGTCTTTCAACTTTTTTCTCCATCTTTGAAGTGGCAGAAATTTGTGAAAGACTTCTCTTGACTACCTTAAAGCTTTAATCTTTCTCTCTTTCAGGTACATGGTTCATAGGTTATTGCTGGCAGCTTTGGGGAGAAGGGAGCTGGATGACAGAGATCACTACGGCAACAAACGACTGGATCTTGCAGGGCCATTACTTGCTTTCTTGTTCAGAGGGTGAGTGTAGGAAGTGCTGTTGTTTCCTAATCTTGGCCAGTACTGGCTTGGATCCTGGGATATGGTATTGGAAAAGGTTGAGAGGAAGGTATATATCCTACACCTTTCATTGGACAGCTCCCTTTCAGTTGGACTAAATTCAGAATTCAGAGCAATCTGCGACTTTGGCCAAGGCCTCATTAAGCAGCTTTCCCCCCACATTAATTTGTAGTTTGGCTGTCATAAAACTATGCATTGTGTAAATCAGGAGTGAAGAAAGTGTTTCCCATGGACCAAGTGTGACCCAAAAGGTCTTTTTTGCAGCTCTTATTCACCAGTTTATTTTTACAATATTGGGTGAAAATTGTTCCAAATTTGCCCCAAATATGACATCTTGCCAATTCTCCCAAACCATAAACACTGCCTGCAAAGCCCAAGAATGTTGGAAATGGTTTCCAGTCATATCCGGTTTGCATTTTCAGCTAAAAATATGATTCTGCCTACAATTGTAGGGAGGGCGAGTAAAATTTGGCTTTGAACCCTGGTTTGTAGAAAGCAAATGACAGGAAGTATTTTCCCACTGTTCTTTGAGTCCCAGTTTTGGGTGAGAGACAGAGAGTTTAAATAAAATTGATAACTGCAATATTAGACACAAGATACAATAATACTAAAACTGGAGTCATCAACTGAGACAAATTGTAGGAAGTTCAGGATAAATTAAATAAAATTATTATTCTCACACATTATCTAAAACAAGGTAATGTTTTCAATTGGCCACTTATCTTTTTAAAAGAATTAGACAAATTAATGAACAATAATTTTGTCAATAACTATTAGTCATGGTGATCGTGTTACTCACAATAACCGTTATGCTGATGCTTACGGCATAATAAGTTTTGATGTGCTTTATCTGTTTTAATGTTTTAAGTGGATCATACAAAATGCTAGCAGTTTGAAAAACTGCAAATGTGAGTAGATCAATAGGTATCATTTCTGCGGGACGGTAACAGTGCTCTGTTCAGTCATGCTGGCCACATGACCTAGGAGACATCTGTGGACAACACTGGCTTTTCAGCTTAGAAATAGAGATGAGCACTACTCCCCAGAGTCGGACATGACGAGACTTAATGTCGTCATTAAAGGGGTGCCAAGGCAGCAGCGGGGAGCCTCCTGAGCCAGAACACTCGGGGAGGGAGGATGAGTCGAAGGGAAGCGACGGCAACCTTAGCTATATTGTATTGTATTTATTTATTTACAGTATTTATATTCTGACCTTCTCACCCCAAAGGGGACTCAGGGCGGATCACAATACACATATACACGGTAAATGTTCAGTGCTGGGTTTTTTTGACATACAAGACATACAGACAAATAGAGGCCATTCAGCAGTTCTTCCACCGGATCCTGGAGGTTGCTTGATTTGGCCACAGGGGGAGCTGTCACTTCGTCCACTATGACGCCGAGCCTTTTTGATCGTAGCATTTCCTCCTTTCTCTCCGGTATTTTTATGGTGTCATAAATTAGCCTCCCCATTTTAAGCGGTCTTTAATTTCTCTACTCATAGCTGTTTTGAACTGCTTAGGTCGACAGTGATCTGGGCAATATTTTTTAACAGCTATTTTTTAAACAGCTATTAACAGTCAGGCGCTCAACCCCAACTCAGGCTTCAAACTTGCCACCTTTCGGTCGGCAGTGATGTATTGCACCTGATTAACCAGTTGTGCTATCAGCCCGGCCCATGTATGTGTAATGTAAGATGCCTTGGGTACTATATGGGAAATGCAGGATTTAACTAAATGACTAAATATTAAGTCCAGTGTTAGGCTTTATGGTTCTCGTTGCTAAGGAATGTCAATGGGTGCTTATTGTTGCATTCATGTGTTGCAATGCATGTTAGTAATGCATTTTTCTGATTTCTTCAACAGAATGTTTAAGAACTTGCTGAAGGAAGTTAGAATATATGCACAGAAGTTTATTGACAGAGGGAAAGATTTTAACTTGGAGCTAGCAATTAAAACCAGAATTATATCAGACGGGCTGAAATACTCCTTGGCTACAGGGAACTGGGGAGACCAGAAGAAAGCTCATCAGGCCAGAGCTGGAGTATCTCAAGTAAGGTTTCTTCCAGTCTATTTTTTATTTGAAAAGATTATGTTTCTGTTGTTTCTCTGGAATTTTGTTAAGTGACACACAACCATTAGGTTTGTTAGCTGAAATCATTGCGTGAAAATGTATTTTATATGCCTACCAGATTCTGCTTGCCTTTCTGCAAGATAAATAACCCATTCTGTTTTCAAAAGTCTTGTAAGTTCTTCTTCTGCGTGAATTGCTGCCTCAGTCACCTCTTTCCCTTCTCCATCCATCCTTTACTTTGTTCTGTTTACTTGAACTTCTCTTCTAATGATCTTAGCATTTCTGCCCTTCTCGTTGGTAGCATCACCATCCTTCTTATTCTTCACTATCCGTTTGAAATGGAACACTTATCCAAATATGCATCTGAGTCCATATTTGCTATCAGATGCCTTTTGCTCATTCACTGCCTTTGAAGTGATTTCTATTCATCATCTATACTGTAGTACTTATGTTTTATATGATAAATGCTTCAAATTAATATGCAATCACTGCACAATTGTTAGGGAAAATTACCCAAAAATATAGCAGAGCATCCAACATACAAACAGAATATTAAAAGTTGAGCAATCAGTTCACAGCAAGCAGAGTGTGAAGTGCCGTTGGTTGTGGCTGTAATGAATTTAGAGCTTGGGCAGGCAAAGATGCAGAGTCCAATCTTTAAAAAAATCACAAAAGGTTTATTTACAATAATATGAACTAACTACATTTCTTAACAGTTGTAGAACTGGGTCTGAGCTACTCTATAACCCATCTCTTCTAAGGTTTCAAGAAAGGGAAAAAACACCCAAGCACTACATCTCTCCTGACACGCAGAGCAAGAGAGAGATATCAAAACACACAACACATTCAAAAATGTTAAAAATGCCATTCAGAAGTAAAGGCTTGTAGTGGAAAAGGTATCCATTTTACACAACCAATCAGAATGAGAGCAGAAACAGAGAGGAGAGAAGAAATTAATACATTCCAACTGTCACACAGGAGACATGGGGGAAGGGAAACCCTCAGCTTATTCTAAGCTAACTAACTGTTCCTCATTGAGGACTTGAGACTTGGACAGTGTTGGGTTGAATCCTAACAACAATAAGTCTTGTTATAGGAAGGTAGTTTTTTTTTTACTTCGTCAAGATCTAGACTATGTGTCTTATGTTTACACCTAAATCTTTTCTTGGTTGCATTCCTTTTGAAGGTCTTGAACCGACTCACCTTTGCATCTACGCTTTCCCACTTGCGTCGTTTGAATTCCCCTATTGGCAGAGATGGTAAATTAGCAAAGCCCAGGCAATTGCACAACACATTGTGGGGAATGATCTGTCCTGCTGAAACTCCAGAGGTAATGAACAGATTAGATCAAAAATAAGTGTATAATGTGTGTATATGACTCTGTGTACCCATCTGTATATTTTTCTCTGCAGTGACAGTTTTATTTTTAGGCTTTGTAATGAAACTTGATTATCTGAAAAAACCTTTATTTTTTAGATCAAACCCTCAGGCTTCTCAGAAGTTGAGGTTCTTCAGTAACAGAAAAATATTAAAACCTTGCCTGCCATATTAGTCTTCTCTTACATTTCTAAATAGAATGCTAAGCAAGTTTTAGGATAAATCTCCCTTAAGAGGGGTGACAGTGAGGTCCAGTAGGCAAGGCACTTGCTTTCTGAGCAGAATACATAACTGAGCAGAATTCAAACTTTCAAATAATAATAATAATAATAATAATAATAATAATAGTAATAATAATAATAAAAACTTTACATCACACAGTCCTAGATGCTTGGGAAGTGTTTGACTTGTGATTTTGTGATACGAAATCACGCGTATATATTTTGTTTGCCGTGACATACTGTGTTTTTGTGTCAGTAAAATAATTTAAAAAATATATTCCTCCCTTTCTGCTCAGAAGGACTCAGGGCAGATTCCAAACATAAAAGGCAAACATTCAATTCCCGAACACAACAGCAATACATCCATAGTAACAAAATTTGACAACCCAAAATATAAAAACAAATTATGCCTTAACAACTAAAATTAAATTAAAAAGCCTGTTATATCAGATATAAGACAAAACACTGAACAGAAGCATCAATTTCCCATTTCCTTGGAGGCAAATAGATTGCTCATTGCTCAAGATATCCATTGCGTATTGTGGAACTTCCATATACTGCCATTTTTTCACTATGGTTAGTTGATCCTTTTTTTAAAATGTAAATTGAATTTGATAAATAAGGTACTGTTCTGCCCCCGCACTAGCTCTTTATTTGGAAGGTGTCTTTGATGCAATGAATGGATTGTATGCTACGTATTTGAAGTAAAAACAGCAATTTGTTAAATAACAGATCTCAGTCTTCCTGTCCTCAAAGAGTTCTACTACCAGTCTATGTGAGGGGAGTTAAAATCCTTGAAACACAACTACAGTTCTGACTGGATTATACTTTAATGTGACTTCAGATGGATTTCAGTCTGTATATCCTTTGTGTCTTTACTTTTATATAGCTTTGATGTAACGATGTATAGTTTTGACGTGACTGATTTGCGTAGCCTCAACAGGATGTTCTGTTTTGTAGTTCTTCCACCTTCCTTACTCTTCACCTTCCAATACCACATTGCCTGACTCTTCAAGGAGCCAGAAGGGTCTGGGCTGAGGCTCTGCCCCTGAGATGTGTCTTAAAGTAAAAGGACGAGGGAAGTTTCAAACACAAGGAGGAAGAGGTTATCTAGACTAACCCCACAAACTATACACAGAATACTAATCTCTTCTAGCTAAATAGGGGCTTAACAGGAGTAAACAACGAGAAAGCTTGCAGAGGCACAACAGGTATAGATGGGAAAGTCTTGCTCTAAACACCTTCTGATTTGAAATGATTATCAAAATGTTTATGTCGTATGGATATGGAGATGATTGAATTACAAGAAATGGCGTCTTTTCCTAGGGTCATGCTGTGGGACTTGTGAAGAATCTTGCTCTCATGGCCTATATTTCTGTGGGATCCCAGCCATCTCCAATTCTGGAATTTTTAGAAGAATGGAGCATGGAAAACCTGGAAGAAATCTCTCCAGCAGCCATTGCAGAGTAAGTATAAAAGGCAGTTGAATCTCAGGAAGCTCCATGTAGCTCAGTTTAAGGGCAGCCTTCTCATATAGCTTTTTCTTGTCTTTAGTGCTACAAAGATCTTTGTAAATGGATGTTGGGTTGGAATCCACAAAGACCCAGAACAGCTTATGAATACGCTGAGGAAATTGCGTCGTCAGATGGACATCATTGTGTCAGAGGTATATATTGGGTTGTTCTACAAGATGGAAGGCACTACATAAAAAATAATTAGTGTATAAACACTGCTTGATACAAGTATTGTTGATCAGATTGGTTTTGGTTTGTTTGAAATGAATGCATTTACAAATGAAAACTTGTATGTTAAATGCCTTCTGCTTTACTTATATAGGTGTCCATGATCAGGGATATCCGGGAGCGAGAAATTCGCATTTATACTGATGCTGGCAGGATTTGCCGCCCACTTCTGATTGTGGAAAAACAAAAGTTGCTTCTAAAGAAGAGGCATATTGACCAATTGAAGGAACGTGAATATAACAATTACAGGTAGGATGCTCCTGATGGCATTTTGCTTGCTTTTGAAGGGAAGCCTCTTTTATTTTCCATTAGCAATCATGGTCTCTTCATGGCAAGGGAAGCAGTCTGATGTGATAACTGGAAAAAAGTTTGGCGAATTGCATTACTCAATACGTGCATTACAGCACTACAAGTAAACAGGCAGGAGTTTTAAAAATTATCCCGTATCAGCCACTTGATATGTATGAGAACTTGAAAGGTTCTCATCCAGAATGTGAATTTTTGCTGCTGTTGTTCAAGTACAGTTTGACATATGGCAATCGTATCAGGGTTTTCCAACAACATTTTTTCCAAAGAGATCTGTCATTTCCTTCCTCTTAGTCTGAATCATTGTGATGAGCCCAAGGATTTCCATGAATGCATGTAGACTGCAACATTGATAACACTGTGTAACAAAATTTGAAAATGTTTCTGTTCCTGGCTTGAAAGTGTTATTCTTGTTTAGTTGTGTGGTATTTACATTAAAAGTAGTTGCTATATTCCAGAAACTTTGTTTTTGTAGTTGCCACAAACTATGTTGAATTGTTTGAGACTCAGATGAGATATTCATTGAAAAACTAGCAAAATGTGCTGCAGGTTGTCCCACAAAAGCCAAGTTTTTGCAGTTTAATAAACTTTCCCCATGTTTTTATAATAGAAGCAATTAGGAAATTACAATTGTAACCCAGGAACAAAAATCATGTTACATTTTTATTGTAATATTCCAGTGCTCAAAACACTATAACATGCTGGCTCTCTAGTTTGATTTTAGGTGTGGCATACTTACTGTCCTTAACATTTCACTTTATGTGTAACTGAATAGCTTGCATCTTGCAAAAGCAGCACCTTCTGAGGCTAGTTTATTTATTTATTTATTTACAGTATTTCTATACCGCTTTTCTCACCCCTAGGGGCACTCAAAGCGGCTTGGGTATGTTGTAGCAGAACTTCTGCAGCATAATCTCAGTATGACTTTTGTACATCAGTTTTTGCTGCTGTTTTGGAGATGTTTCCTCCCTGTTACAGAAGAGAACTGCAGTAAAGGCAGTGTGCTGACTTAGCATGTGTTGTTGGGCTGTTTTAACTGTTCTATTTGATCCTTATCCAAAATGACAACTGTGGGGCAACTAACCAGAGTTTCCTGCTTGAATAATCATCCTGTTACAAAACAGATTAATGGCACCATGCTGAACCAGACTTTGCTCCTGGCAACAAAGATTTAATATTGCAGCCATCAATATCACTGTGTGCTAACTATGAACCTTTCTTGAACTTCTGGATACACTATTTTTTTGGCTGGATTTCAGAAGGAGTCTGCATTGCTTTGTCATAGTTCTCTAACAGCAGGGTTGGATTAATGCCTCAGTCTACAAATACTCATTGTCAAGGAACAGGGTACATGTATATGGCTGTTCTTCACTGCCTACGAAAAACTTACAGATTGAGTGTTCCCTATCAAAGTATAAACATGAAATTTATCACTTTGAGGGCGTGGTCTAGAATCAAAAGTTCTCTCTTACTTTGTGTCAATGTGGGAAGCAAGGAATTTGCAGCAAATAGCTGGTTTGGAGCTCCAAAACTGGTAGATGATGATAATAATAATTTTATTTGTACCCCACCATCATCTACCTGAAGGGACTTAGGGCAGCTCACAAAAGCACTTTGAAGTGCCACACATAAAACAATGATACATGAGCTTATTAAACAAAAATATAAGTCTAAAAAAACGAACACACATAAAACCTCATCTGATAAAATTGTAAATTTCATAAAACACAGTAGAATCTGTGAATAAAACTGGCTATCTACAATTAACAAACCAAAGTCCTGGAGTGAAGACAATAGCCGAGTTCTCAATCTGACCATAATTTACACAAGGTCAAATGCCTGTCTAAAAAGCCATGTTTTTAAGCTACTAGGAATAGAAGGAGATGAAGCCAATATTCATCTTAGTGATCTGTGAATCCAGAAGGGAATAGTGGTCACAGATAAGATAGAGACTCTGCTCACAATCTTAGTTTTTTTGTGAAATTTGCCCCAGCTTTCAAACTGTCTTTCCACTGATATAATAATTCAACTTGAAAGAAGAGTGAAAATTGGGAACTGTCTCCATTTATGGCAAGTTTTTTTTACTTCTCAGTTAACTCTGTCTAAATTCAACTAGAAAATTTAAGAGTAGGTATACCAGTTGGCTAACATTTTTTCCCTCTCCTTCATTTCAATGTTGGAAGTGGGACTCTTTCTTTTTTGGCTGCTGGAGCGAGGTAAAGGCCAAGGCCAAAACGGTCACAAGTTGAAAAACAATTTATTAGTAATTGGAAGGCACCTCTAGACACCCCAAAACTAAGCCACTCTAAACTATAAAGATTGTATAATCAGCCATGTACATTCCAAGTACTTGGCTGTGAGCTGCATTCAATTAAAGTTACTCTACATCCGTGGTTCTCAACCTGTGGGTCCCCAGAAGTTTTGGCCTACAACTCCCAGAAACCCTAACCAGTTTACCAACTGTTATGATTTCTGGGAGTTGAAGGCCAAAACATATGGGGACCTACAGGTTGAGAACCACTGCTCTAGAAGCTCTGAAATGGTTTGCGGTCATTAATCGAATACAAGAAAAGGATGGTATTAATTGATTCCGCCAATAAGACAGCTCCCATCAGTGGCTATGGTGAGAAAGATGAATGGTTTTTCCTTCCCTGAGTGCATTGATGGAGAGATCAGAACAGATAGTGATGCTTCAGGGGCAAGGAAAAAGGGAAGTCCTAACGTTTGAGCATAAATAGGGACTCTGGTGACATCAAGGCACTGCAAATTGCAAAAGTATAATGTCTAATATTAAATTATTGTTAGCCCTCTAATAATTGAGGTGTATTGCTTAGTTGGCAGGACTTGGTGGCCAGTGGTGTAGTGGAATACATTGACACGCTAGAAGAGGAGACTGTTATGTTGGCCATGACTCCAGATGACCTGCAGGAGAAAGGGATTGCATACTGTTCAACTTACACACACTGTGAGATTCACCCGTCCATGATCCTAGGAGTCTGTGCCTCCATTATCCCATTTCCAGATCACAATCAGGTTTGTAAGACTTAGAACTAAACTGTGGCAAAGTGTAAATTTGGTTGCTGTGAGTTTTCCGGGCTGTATGTAATGTGTGCAGTGTTTTATGTATGCTTAAATGTTAATAGATATGAAGAAGTTTTGCCACCTTACTTTTTTTTTTTTAACTTTTATAGTCTCCTAGGAATACCTACCAATCTGCTATGGGCAAACAGGCCATGGGTGTTTATATCACCAACTTTCATGTTCGAATGGATACACTTGCCCATGTGCTGTATTATCCTCAGAAGCCCCTTGTGACTACGCGCTCTATGGAATATCTGAGATTCAGAGAGTTGCCAGCAGGTAGGTTTGTGAGTTGCTACTTAACATAAACTTAATCACCTGAAGCCTATTTGAGAACCATGTCTTTGACTCAGTTTTATGCCCCTGGAGCTGAGGAGCTGTAAACTTTATTATAATATTCCTTTGTAATTAATTTTTTTAATGGAACTTCTGATCTTAACTGGAATAGCAAGCCAAGAGTATCAGTATTGTTGCTTTAATTTAAGATTAATTTTATCAAGTTTTCACTATGATAGCTCTAGTAGCAGTGGTTCTCAACCTGTGGGTCCCTAGATGTTTTGGCCTTCAACTCCCAGAAATCCTAACAGCTGGTAAACTGACTGGGATTTCTGGGAGTTGTAGGCCAAACACCAGAGACCCACAGGTTGAGAACCAGTGATTCAAGCTGTTTCCTAGTTAGTTGGAAAAGAAATAAAGATTATTATGTTCGTGGTGGATTATTAGGTTTGTGATAGATCATAATAAGACGACAATCATGGTTTCTCAGTCAGTTGCTCTGAGTGACAATCAGAAAACCAGTGTTTGGAAAGTTCAGCAGATGGAAGAACATTAAGTGACAGTGCTGGGGGTGGAAGGAAACACGTTCAATTGCAAGCAGATTTCTTCCCAGGTCCTTCACAGAGATACTTAAATTCTATTTCATGAGCACACTACCAAGTTTCTCCACCTGGGGGTGTTGCATGCCTTTATGAGTTTTTAAAGTCTTGCAACCATTGTTTATTGTGGAAATCAGTACTTCAGTATGGGATTTTGTAGTTTTGTGCTTTCAGGTTTTTTATGACTCATAGTGACCCTAAGGCCTACTTAGCACAGAATTTTCTTGGCAAAATTTGTTTGAGGGGGGGGTGCCTTTCACTGAGGATGAGAAAGTGTGACTTCTCCAAGGTCCTCTAGGTATCCAACACTTGAACCACTACACCGCACTGGTTCTGTTATTATATGTACTTTATACTAAGTAAGTTCTAAATGGATAAATCCCCCCCCCCCCAAATAGAATTAGTGATAGTGTGTGTGAGAGAGAGTGAGACTGATGGATATTCGTGAATCTCTTACAGGCATCAACTCTATTGTGGCCATAGCTTCATATACTGGATATAATCAAGAAGATTCTGTCATTATGAATCGTTCTGCTGTTGACAGAGGCTTTTTCAGGTCTGGCTGCACTAAAATCGAGTTTCCATATGTAATCCTTAGAGTGTATCTAAAATAACTTCATATGCTTACTTGAATGATGTTTTGTAGTTCTACACAAAGACAATGACATTGTCTTTGTGTAGAACTACACAACATCTATCTTTGCGATTGCATCTCTTTCTATGAACTGGCGCGAACTCTAAGATCCTCTGAGGAGGCCCTTCTTTTGTTCCAACCACCGTCACAAGCATGGTTGGTGGGGACGAGAGAGAGGGCCTTTTCGGTGGTGGCCCTCCACCTCTGGATCACCCTTCCAAGGGTACTAAGACAGGTCCCTCCCTCCCTTTTCATAAGAGCTTGAAGACCTGGTGGTTTCGCCAACCTTTGAGAATGACTAGTATTAGCCCAGCCCTGGACATTGTAAGAATCCGGCCTTGCTCCTTACACCTATTATTCCAGATGGCCCTCTATGGAAATGAGCAGCCACAGGCCCATAATTACTATTGCTCGTGGCCAGTTATGGCACTTTACCCAATTCCCTGGCCCCCCATATCCTAGTTTGTACTAGGCTTGGCCTGGCCCTTCTAAATTGCCTTGGCCCATTTTTTGAAATCTTGGCCCTAACAATAGGCACAAAGAACAGGGATTACTTTTAATATATATGTGTGTTGTTTTGATAATTTTATGTTTATGTTGTTTTGACGATTTTATGCTTATGCTGTTTACTCTGTTTTAGTGTTTGTTACTTGGAAACTGCCCTGTGTTGAGGAGATAGAGCAGTAGATAAAGTATTATTATTATTATTATTATTATTATTATTATTATTATTGTACGCCAGCATATCTAAATCTTTTCTATCTTTTCTATGTTTCTTGGACTTTTTCTGACCTGGATGTTGTTAATGGTGTAGGCATATTTTGGGAGCACTGTGCAAATGCAGGCTGCTAGGCAGGCCAGCTAGGCCAGAGTCTGAGGAGAGCTTTAAAGCAGGGAGAGGAAAATCTTTGGGGCAGGCACATGGATATGACTGTTACTGTCATTGGATCACCAGTCGCTTTGCAGTCCCAGATCTTATTCTTCTGTGGAAGGATTTATTTGCTGATGTAGGTGTATTGTTGTACTCTCCTTTTCCTGCTTCTCCACTTTACCCGGTCATGTTAAATCATGTTCAACTATACCCATCATCTGAAATGAAAGAATGCTGTTGGATATGGATCTGATGGTATTTTATTTTTTTCCCCCACCAGGTCTGTGTTCTATCGTTCATACAAAGAGCAAGAATCCAAGAAAGGATTTGACCAAGAAGAAGTGTTTGAGAAGCCTACTCGTGAAACGTGCCAAGGTAAGAGTAGACATAACAACAGTTCAAAATTGGGCCAATAGGTGACTGCTCTGTATTAGAATTTTATAATTATATTTCTTATAAAATTGCAGAGAACAGTTTCACTTCTCAATCTGTTCTGATGGCAGAGAGCCCTATGCACAAATCTGTGGCACAAGGTTATTTCTAATATGGTTCATGGCAGTTCAGTAGTTCTTAAATCATGGGAAACTGAAATGGTCCCTAGCTGATTGTCAATAAAAGTAATAGAGAAACATTCTAAAGAATCTAAATTTTGTTTGCCCTATTTGTAATGTAGGGCACATGTATAGATGACAGCAAAATAGGGAATTTCTGAGCCTCTGAAGGGCTTGTAATGGTCATTCACAGCTTAGTTGGTTGAGTATTATGCTGGACTGATGTGGGCACTCTGATTTCCTTCTTTAGGGATGAGGCATGCCATCTATGACAAACTGGATGATGACGGCTTAATTGCACCTGGCGTACGTGTGTCAGGGGACGACGTAATCATTGGCAAGACAGTAACGTTGCCGGAGAATGAAGATGAACTGGAAAGCACGAATCGTCGTTACACCAAAAGAGATTGTAGCACTTTCCTGCGCACTAGTGAAACTGGCATTGTTGACCAAGTCATGGTTACCTTGAACCAGGAGGGATATAAGTTTTGTAAAATTAAGGTGAGCGTGGTAGGGATACGTAGTCTGTCAGTGAAGATAAAGCCAGCAATGAGGCTGAACAACTGATTGTCTTCTTGTGTCTGCAGGTGCGCTCTGTAAGAATCCCACAAATTGGAGATAAGTTTGCCAGCAGACATGGTCAGAAAGGTACCTGTGGTATCCAGTACAGACAAGAGGTAAACACCTCCATTTGTGTTTGTATAATAGGAAAGAGAATCATATTCAGAAAATTATTCTGGATTTATTGCCCTTTGTTTTACTTAGATCTGGCTTAGATACTTGGCGATGCCCAGGTTTGGACTTTTGTAATGCCTAATAGTATTTTTTTGGTTTTGGATGTTGTGAATGGTCCCATTACAAACTGCACAAGGATTAGAGTTGGGTCTGAATCACTGTTAATGAAAAGATTTGTAGTTTTTGGAGGGTCATTTTTGTGCAATTTCCAAAAACAGAAAAAGGAAGGGAGAGACTAAAAGACCAATGAAATTTTTTTAGAAAGATTATATATATATATATATATATTTGAAAGAGTTAATCCCACAAAATACCTGAGGCAGGGGGATCTGTGGCATCTTTTTCTCTCCCCAGCAGAAGAAGCCTTTTCCTTTTTTTCTTGGAAAATTCCCTCCTCTTCCAGAGAGGGCCCTTAGAACTCACTTTCCCAGTGGCACTAGCCTAGGGTGGCCATTGAAAGTTCCTCTTGGAGCATGGTTGAAGTTGAAGTTTTTCTCTCTCTGAAGTTTTTCACACCTGGTGGTGTCCATGCTCTGATTGGCTGAGAATGGACACAACTGGCGACTACAATTCCCAGAACCCTCTCTTGAGGTTTGTCCTATTTTTAAAAAATGTTATGTTTAAAACTTAAAATAATTCTTTAAAAATCAGTAGATTGGTGAATTGTTTTGAAATAGTTGTAAATGGGATCTACAAGTGAGGTAGGTTTCATGCAGAAGGGCTTTTAAAATTTCCCATTGTAGCCAGTGGGCTGAATGAAATAGAAAATACCCATCCCTTTTTGGGTAACTTTCTGGTAAACGAAATGAGGGGTCAGATGAAAATGGTATTCCTTTTGGCCTGAAATGTGGAATCAGATGAAAATGGTATTCCTTTTGGCCCAAATGCACATGACTATAATAAGGATATGAGTGAACTACAACTCCCATCACCTGGGTCAATTCCCCCAAACCTCACCAGCTGTTGGCCATGGTGGGTGGGTGTGCCAAATTTGGTTCAGGTCCATGATTGGTGGGGTTCACAGGGCTCTCTGGATTTGAGGGGAAATACAACTCCCAGAATACTCTTTCATTTTCTTCAACCCCTGCCAATATTTAAAGCTGGTCATGTTGGGTATGTGTGCCAAGTCGGTGGGAGTCATGTTGCTCTCTGGATGTGGGAGCCATCTTGGAAAATAGATAGATACATACATATTTTGACTTTTATTATATTCATAGAAAATAGATACATTGATTGCCTTCATTTGTACTAAGGATAGTGAGTGGTGGTGATCAGCCCTCAGGGCCGGTTGATCCTTGTAAGCCTTCCAGAGCTGCCCAATCGAAATGGCTTTGTGCGGCTTTTCTGCAAGTGTGACACTACTAAGAAAGTCCTGCCCCCAATTGCCACTTTGCTCAGAGCAGGATCTTGAAGAGAGGAAGGATCACACAAAAGGATACCACGTTGTAATGGGATTAAACTTAAGACACTTAGAATCATAGAGTTGAAAGAGACCTCGTAAGCCATCCAGTCCAATCCCCTGCTAAGAAGCAGGAAAATTGCATTCAAAGCACACCTGACAAATGGCCATCCAGCCTCTGTTTAAAAACCTCCAAAGAGGGAGCTTCCATCACACTCCGGGGCAGAGAGTTCCACTGCTGAACAGCTCTCACAGTTCAGAAGTTCTTCCTAATGTTCACGTTGGAAGCTCTGAGATAAATTGGATCTGGAAATGTACTTGAAACCAGTGTATTAAAAATACACTCTAAAGCTTAATATGCTGTTAGCCTAGTCAGACCTTATTAAATGTTAAATTCTCAGCTAACTGAAAATCTCTGGATCAGATTCACAGCATCATGAGCAGTGTTTACAAATACAGGAAAAGCAGAGAACACTGGAAACAGAATTTCATGTAACACACAGAGGAAATTCAAAAAGGATCAAACACCTTCTGGAACAAAACATATTTTTTCAGCTTGCCCAGTGACATTGTGCATACTGTGTTGAAAAGCAGACATGATTGTAAACTTCATGATCCGTTTTGTTGCTCTTCTTTTGAAGATAGGAAGCATGACCGCCATCTTCCTTTGTTTTGTCTAGGATATGCCCTTCACCTGTGAGGGAATCACCCCTGATATTATCATCAATCCCCATGCTATCCCTTCACGTATGACAATTGGTCACTTGATTGAATGTCTGCAAGGGAAGGTAAGAACCTGTGACTGCTTGGAGATGAGGTGGCCCCCATCTTACCCTGTTTGTGAGCTTCCAGGGTAGGAGCACTTTGTTAACCACTGTGGAAGACTGAATTATGCACAAAAAATTAATGCTTGAACCTGAATTCAGCATAAGTAGCCTTTGTGAGGCAGGTAACGACTACGTAGTTGGACTGTGTTTACTTTGTGGTATAGAGCTAAGGCCACGATTCAGAGCTAATTTGGGTACAGGCATCAGTGGTATGTGGAAGTCAGAGCTGAATCAGTTGAAGGTATTGCAAATCCCATCATCCGTTGTCCATACTCTCCCAAGCATATTTTTTGTGTGTGATGAATCACTATGCTTTAAGTATGTTCAATTTGTAACAATAAAATACATTCTGCATTTCAGATGTTTACATTACAATTCATAACAGTAGTAAGGGTAGCAACAACATGAGGAACTGTATTTAGGGGTCACGGCATTAGAAAGTTTGAGAACCACTGCCTTAATCCAACGATCTACTGTCTCCATCCTACTTTTTACAACTCTAATTCATTATTGCAGTAGCAGCAAGATACCAGAATTCTGTTTTGCCCTTTTTTCTCTTCTAGATAGTGGTCCTATTCAGTAAAAGTAATATCCTTACTTCCACTTTTAGGTGTCTGCAAACAAGGGAGAAATAGGTGATGCCACACCTTTCAATGACGCGGTCAATGTGCAGAAGATTTCAAATTTGCTCTCTGATTATGGTTACCATCTGAGAGGAAACGAGGTATGTGCTGATCTCACTAGCAGTTACATGCCTGACTCCGCCCTTTCCTCAGATTTTTCACTATCATTTGAGCATTCACTCCATATTTCATTTTCTTTAGGTTTTGTACAATGGCTTCACAGGTCGCAAAATTACATCGCAGATTTTTATCGGTCCTACTTATTACCAGAGGTTGAAACACATGGTAGATGATAAGATTCATTCTCGTGCCAGGGGGCCAATCCAGATCCTCAACAGGCAACCTATGGAAGGCCGATCACGGTATGAAATAAGATTCAATCATGTTTATTTGCTTTTAGTTTGCCACAGGTGCAAGAAAAAAAATATATCATTGGGCACTGAAACTTCATTTCTCTTGAAATATCTCAGATTTTCTCATGGGCTTTGCTTGTGCTTTTCCTCAAATTATCCATATATAAATTGCAGTAAAAAATGAAATTAAAAACAGAAATCCTTAAGAAACTGGATCCTCATGTGTTTTTAAAAATTATAGCTTATATGCCCAAACAAATTGGTTGTAAAGCTTTTACAAAGAGCACCCCTTCTGATTTCCATTCATGCTGTGATCCGCATTTTATATTGAGAATGTTTATATTGAGAACAAGTAACCCAGTAGCGCAATGGGTCAAACTGTTGTGCTAGCAGGACTGCTGACCAAAAAGTCAGCAGTTTGAATCCAGAGAGTGGAGTGAGCTCCTGTCTGTCAGCTCCAGCTTCTCATGCAGAGACATGAGAGAAGCCTCCCACAGGATGGTAGAACATCCGGGTGTCCCATGGGCAACGTCCTTGCAGACAGCCAATTCTCTCACACCAGAAGTGACTTGCAGTTTCTCAAGTCACTCCTGACATGGAAAAAAAATAAATACTCCTATGGGGCCTTTCAGGTGTTTTGTAAATAATAATAATAATAATAATAATAATAATAATAATAATAAGTAGCATGTATTGCATCTACCATGAATTTTGCTCCAATAGCTTCTTACATTATTGGGGAATGTGAGGTACATTGGTCACCTTCAGGTTTGGAAAAAAAATTGAATCACGTGTATTTTCTTTTTCTCAGTGATGGTGGTCTCCGTTTTGGAGAAATGGAACGAGATTGCCAGATTGCTCATGGAGCAGCCCAGTTCCTAAGGGAAAGGTTGTTTGAAGCATCAGACCCATATCAGGTTCACGTGTGCAACCTCTGTGGCTTAATGGCAATTGCAAATACCAGGACGCACACATATGAGTGCAGGGGCTGCCGGAATAAGACACAGGTATGTAAAAAGTTGATAGAGGTGCTGTTTCTAGTTTTCCTCTTTGCATTTTGTGCCCCCTTCTACACTGCCATATAAAATCCAGATTATCTGCTTTGAACTGGGTTATATGGCAGTGTAGACTCATGTAATCCAGTCCAAAGCAGATGATTTGGATTATCTGCCTTGATCATCTGGATTATAAGGCAGCGTAGAAGGGATCTGTGCTGCGCTACTTGATCCCCTTTTGGTTATCATCTCAATCTGACTCCCTGATGTGGCTTTATCTTTTTCTCCAAAAATATATTGCAAAACCAATTTATTCTTTCAAACTGTTTCCTGAGTGACTCTCACCTTATCCGTTATGCATTTATATTTATTATTTACATACTGATCCATTTGGTTTCCTTAAATTGTATACATTTTGAGTTTGAAAGCTTTAACATGGCTAGAGAAAAATGACCTTTGTATCCAGGGTTTTCAACTTTTTCTGTACCACGATCCCTTCATTCATCTGGTGAGGCCCTGCTCACGATCCCACCTGCATCGCAAGCGTGATTGGTGGGAACGAGGGACAGGGCCTTCTCGGTGGTGGCCCCACGACTCTGGAACTCCCTCCCCAAGGACATCAGGCAGCCCCAACGCTGGCAGTCTTCAGAAGGAGCTTGAAAACATGGATGTTCCAGTGTGCCTTCCCAGATTAAGGAATCCCAAACAATTGTCCCTAATGCACTTTATGAGAGAGTTAGAATTGTCTGCACACCCTTCTATTCCCAAAATATCCACTCTACCTTACCTGGACATACCCAGAATTTTTAGAATTTTAACTATTACATTTGGCCCTGCCACAGGTTTTTAACAGTGTCGCCCTTTTGTTATTGTTTTATTGTTTGCTTATTTATTGTTGCATTGTATTGTTGTCTGTTGTGTTTTTGTTAATGATGTACTTTGGGCACAGCCTCTTGTAAGCCGCACCGAGGAGATGGTAGCGGGGTACAAATAAAGGATTATTATTATTATTATTACCATAAAATGTCTGTTGAGTAAGCTATCAATTATTAGCACAGCTCCATGAAATATGGAGGGAGGGATCCTGTCCAGCTTTTAGGCAGATGTACTGAAATAAAACAAACTTTGAATGCTTTGAATGTGATTTTCCTCCTTGTTGACAGGGTGTTAGACTGAATGGCCTATGAGGTCTCTTCCAACTCTATGATTCTGTGATTCTATAAACGCATCTTGAATGCTCTCACATGTAAAGGATTACGTATTGTTTTGTTCCTTCAAGTAATTTTTGACTTATTGTGACTCTGTCATGGGGTTTTCTTTCCAAGACTTGTTCAGAAGGGGTTTACCATTGCCCTTCACAGGACTGAGAGAATCTGACTGCCCAAAATCACCCAGAGTCATAGTAATCAATTACATGAGTTGGAATTCAAACTTGAGTCTCCTGAACTATTAATCCGGCACACAATTCACTAGAGCAGTGGTTCTCAACCTGTGAGTCCTCAGATATTTTGGCCTTCAACTCCCAGAAATCCTAACAGCTGGTAAACACCTGGAGACCCATAGGTTAAGAACCACTGCACTAGAGCATGTTGACTTTTAAAGTCTTTGTGTTATCACTTACATTACTAGGCCAAATTCAAATAATAAAACAATGGAGTTTTTTTTATTTTGTACTCTTTACTAACAAGTCACAAAGGTGCCTGATGTTTTAATAACTTTTTTGGGGGTGTGTGTGTGTGTGTGTGTGTATTTTTTTATGTAATTCTGTATATGCTGTATTTATGTAATTCTGTATATGCTGTATTTGATGCTATGATATTGTAAATTAAAACATGTAATTAAGGAGTTATTAAATATTAAAACGCCTTTGCAGTCCACCCTATATAAACTTGATACAGATGGGTTTACTTAATGGGTAATGGTATGGATGCCTCTCATTCAAATCATATCTATGTCAGGAAGCAGATGTATTGATTTGGTATGAGAGAGAAACTGGTCAGTTCCAGTTTAAACTGCATAATGCCTGGAATAAGGACTCATTTTAAGGTGAGCTGTTTGAAAGTACTAAATGGCTACAGAGTCTCTAATAAAATGCATTCATACACCACATAAACCCCTCAAAACCATAACCTCCTCCAACAGAAGCCCTTTTCTGACTATTAATCCTGAAAACTTTGACTGTCGAGACGATTTTCTCAATTGTGGTTGTGTGTGTGTGTGTGTGTGTGTGTGTGTATATGGATGACATGCCTCACCAGTGTCACTATTGTTGTCATTCTGCTGATGCTAAAGAAAGATCTTTTTCATTCCCCACAACATGTTATCATGTCAGTGAAGCTGGTTTTAATTTGATGGCTTTACTGGTCCTGCCAGAACTGATCACTATATTACTTTTGTTGTTGTCTGTTAATATTAGTTTTTGCTTGCTGTGTTTACTCATTGTGTGAGTTGTCTTGAGTCTAAACTAAAGGGTCATATTAAAATATTTTTAACTAAGTAAAAAAAAAAAGTAATATTTGTCAACCTTTCCTTTTCAGATTTCTCTGGTGAGAATGCCGTACGCCTGTAAGCTCCTCTTCCAAGAGCTGATGTCCATGAGTATTGCACCTCGAATGATGAGTGTGTAGCCTTTGGGAAGTTCCTCCATTTCTTAGCCACAATGTAGTTTTTACCCAAGTTTTTTAGGCACATGCTTCTCTTTTAAATGTTTTTTTTTCAAATCTGAATATCTTTGTGGTTAAGGTTTTCCAATTGTTCCATGTGTGCGCTATTTTGTTTTTGTAAATAGAAATAAAAGCTTTTCAGTCATGTATACACTTGTCAAATATTTTATTGTTACTCAGCAAAAAAAAAAAACATATTCAAGGAGTTAGTGTATGGAGAGGTATGAATAATAAGAAAGAACAACAATTTTCCAGAAGATTAACATAACCTTGGCATCGATTAGAGCTTCTACCTCTCTGTGTGCAATATATAAGCTTCACTTTTCAGAGCTCAGCACTGTCACCTGAGGGAAAAAAAGACAACATTATAAATTGAAGATTTTGTTTTCCTTGAAATGCACACAAAAGAATTGAGGACACCCTATAATTAGTTCAATTGTATTTGAGGAAAGAGATAACCTTTCACTTTTATAGAGTCAATTATTCCTCTTCAGAAATCTCTAGATCCTCTAGTAACTCTATGATCAATGTTTGCTGGAAGTCTTGTAGATTCCTACAGTTTTCTGGGCTTTTATGGGTCTTCCAGCATAGTTGTATGGTCAGCTTTTGGCAAGTGCTGACCATAGAGTCAACACAAAAGTCTGCAGAGAATGTTTGCCTATCTGTGTATGTTGTCATCCGCTCTGAGTTCCCTCAGGGAGATAGAGCAGAATATAAATAAACAAATAATATTTTCTGTAGTAAAAAAAACATCCATTCATTTATTCATGATTCTTACACTTTCATGGGGTTTTGCACCTCTAACCCCCAGCAAATGGGGAGAGTTGACTGTATCAGTAAAGCATCCCTCATGCAAAATTATATTTGGATTGCATTTACGAGAACAAGATTATTTTTCTAGGGCAGTGATGGCAAACCTTTTAGAGACAGAGTGCCCAAACCCGGGGTGGGAGGGGTTGGGCACTCAGGGGGTGGGTAGGGTGAGCCCAGGGGGGCAGGCAAGCGAGCAAGTGGGCAGGCAAGTGAATGGGCAAGGGGGGCAGGTGAATGGTGGGTGAGCAGGGATAGGATGAGGCGGGATAGGATGGTGAATGGGGGGTGAGTGATAGAACACATGCAGTGAGAGGGTGCTGCATGCCCCTTATGGCACGTGTGCCATAGGTTTGCCACCACTGCTCTAGGGTTACTGGGGACAAAGAAGTCTTGGGCCTGTAGCAAGGCCACCATCTGTATACGTCTCATGCCACCTCTTCTGAAGTCTAAGATCGGATGTATTGCAACCAAGATAAGGAGAAACCACTTCTCTACTTCCCACTTCTCCCCTGGGACATTTCTTATTTATTTTGTATCAAAATTTATAACATACCGAAAGCATTGCATAAATTAGTATAAAATTGATAAAAGTAGAAGGAGCACAAGTGGCTAAATATCTTTTGACCAAAAATGTGCAACAGCAACTGCATTGTCTGTATCCTCCAACAACTCTTCCTCTGTACATGAGGCAGGACACTGCGAACAAGCATGCAGATGGGGAGTTGTGTGTTCTGCTCCACAGTCATACAAGGTGGAAGATTCTTTTAGGTAGTGCCATTTTGCCTGGTTGTCTTTTCATCTGCCCACTCCACTTCTGAGTCTGTTCAGGGGCTTCCAAGTTGCCCATTTTTGGTTTGCCTCTGGAAGCAGACCCTCATGGAGGGGCATCCAATTGGGATTTCCTGGTTTAGCTGCCCAGAGGAATACTCTTGCTATTGCTGGGGGAACATTAAGAGGAGTGGTGGTTCTCATGAAGCTTTTCCTTGATTTGAAGTCTCCTGGGAGGAGGCTGATAGCCATGCAATGGGTGGCTTTCACTGTTCAACCTTATTTCTTAAATTAGTTAACACCAGTCATGGACAGCAATGAATTCCACTTTTTTCAGGAATCTTTCATGTGTCTACTATGAGAGATTCCTTCAATTCACAATCTGCTATTAAGAACAACCATTAAAAGCTTTCTTGTTCACAAACCTTCTGATTTTTGGTTCAGGATATTGTGACATTGCTGTAAGTCAGCAGACCCATCTTTTATCTAATGTCTACATTTCATTTCTAGCACAACAAAACACAAACACAGACTACCTACCTTTTTTTGTAGGTATTTCATTTATGGAATTGACAATAGTAATTTTTGCGGAGGCTGTGGCTTCTCCTTTAGAATTTGATGCATGGCACTCGTATTCTCCAGCATCATCATTGCTCAAGGGTGAGATCTATCAAGGCAGAACCATAGTTAATAGTTTTATTTCTAAAGGTTCTTGGTATTTGTTTAATGGTTGGCTTATTGATAGCATACATCCAAGTCCACAGCAATCTACTTCTTATATGACGATTTGGGAACATCTTCAATATGTTTGTACTATGGGGAGAAAACATTCTGACATAAATTTTTTTATTAGTTAGAGAGATGTAGGAAGAAACACTGCACAGAGCTATGTCTTAAAACGATTACTCAGTATGTTGTATTTTCTATTTTCCCCCTTGTAACTGTGTAGGAAATATTTGGAAGCTGCTGGAGGATATTCTTCCAAACATTTAACATGGTCTCAGAATTATTTTTTGTTGGAAATAGCAATAATAATAATAATCTTTATTTGTACCCCCCCCCCCCTCAACATCTCCCCAAAGGGACTCAGGGCGGCTCTATGCAGTCATGCCTAGGAGGTATCTACAAACATCGCTGGTTCTTCGGCTTAGAAATGGAGATGAGCACTAACCCCCAGAGTCAGACTTGACTAGACTTAGTGTTAAGGGGAAACCTTTACTTTTTAAAACTTTTATGCCATTCAGTAGACATAGACTTGGGATCAGAATCTCATTCCCCTACTGCATCACTTCCCAGGTGGTTCCGAAGTCTAAAAAGCTGATTTTCTTCCTGCTGCCCTATCAAAATTACACAGAGTTGCTTCAATCGTGATAGCAAAAAAACTGCTACTTACCAACACCCACCCTGTTACTTCATGTTTCTCAGGGCCACCACGAGTCTGGATGGCTAAATTATCCCGATCCCCTGGAAGAAGTTCCATTCTCTGGACACCATATTGCCCCCTTGAAATCTGGTATATGAAGGAAAGGGATTTAGGAGTGATGGGAGTTGTTTTTTTGAAGTTATTTCTTAATTTCCCTTTACCAAATGCTGTTATCCATAGAGGTTGATCTTATACGTTGAGACAAGGACACCCCCAACTCATGGAACCAGTTTCAAGATCCTGACTAACATTTTCTTCTCCTCAAAATGCTGCATAGCAAAGTCAGTTTTGGAGCAGGTGAGATTCATAATCAGTTTCTGATGTGTAGCAAGAATGTCTCTTCCAACACAGAAAGTAAAATACAAGAAGAACCCATATCCATGACTTCACTTACTCGCAGACAAGGAGAATGGTCTCTCGAGCAATTTGCTAGGTCCTCAAAGAGATTATCTGTTATCTTCCCCACAGAATTGGAGAACTGATAAAATTCTATGCCAAAAGTAAGGTAATTTAATGGCTTTCACTCACATCCATGCTCACATTCATGCTTTCAGGCAACCACACTCCAGCAATGAATATATCCTCAAATATTGAAGTCTTGCAGTGATAACAACTAGACTAATAAAGGCTTCTTCTGTGAACTTAAAAAAAATCTTTGGATCCCACCTATGCATGGGTTGATTATGTTTTTGTGATACATTAAAAGAGACTTGTCAAATACTACTTTGTAGATGATGCTTGGGACCACAAGAGAGATGTAGAGAGATAGTTTTGGCATTGCGAGTCAACTTCTGTCCCTCACCATCTGAGCAATGTCATGAGCCAACAGGGAGGACTACAGCAATATCTAATATACATTTACAGGGCTTCTGCTTCTGTTCTCAAAGTAATTGGCAGCCTGACAAAGATGAGGCCTGCTCCCAAGGATCAGAACTGTCTAGGAAACAGCAGGGCTTTGGCAGCATTCCCAAAAAGTACTTGCTCTGACACAATTGTAATTTACACTAGCATATGTTACTTACAGGATCCCAGATCAATAATAATAATAATAATAATAATAATAATAATAATAATAATAATTGGAAACACAACAGATGAATCCACAGCTTTGGATCACATGTCAGACACACAGGCCTAGGACTGTGTGATGTATCGGCGAATAATGCGTGCAAAGCCCAGTAAGGTGGCCTTCTCCAGCTGGCAGGTGGTAATCTTCTTCTTGTTGTTGTTGTTGTTGTTGTTGTTAGATCTAGTGTTCAGGTACATGCAAGATCTTCCCAGCTTTGTGGGAGAAGGGCAGTCCATCAGGGCAAGGAGAAAAACTTTCCCTATACAGATCTTAGGAGCCAAGAGGCTCATATGAGGGTCCAAATTTATTTCAGATCTTGCATCTATACCATAAGAAATTTTGAAGTCAACAACCAATGGCCAAAATCCTTATGGAACCTTATGCCTTTGTAAGTGGATTTACATCTGTAAGAGTTAAAATTGTGCAGAGGATTGATTGGGATTGTTGTTGCCACATCAGGACATCTGGGGACTAGATACATTAAAAGGTGCTTCCAATCTGCAAACCTATTTTTAAAGAAAATGATTATCTCATGAAAATTAGGCTGGATGTCACTAAGGAGAAATCAAAAACAAGGGTAGGCAGAAGCTGGGACCCAAGGACGTCTGAACACAAGCCTCTGGCTTTTAGTCACTACAGAATAAACCAAGGCCACTAATGTTATTTATTGTCATATTCTGGCTGTTAAAATTTAGCAGAAATTTCCCTGTCCCTCCTTCCTTCCAACAGGACTGCACAAATAGGACCATGTAATATCACCAGATCCTTTACGTCTTTAAATATTTTCAAAACTTTCCGAACATGCATGAGCTCACACAGTAGAGTTTTAATACTGTCTCCTCTTCCCCAGAAAGGCCTAATATGGTAAAGTGAACCAAGGCTTGTTTTATGAAGACAACCAGAAACGAAACAAGAACTGACTGGGGCGTAAATGCCAGAAGGCAAAAGGTGGATTATATAATTCCTAATCTTTGCAGAGAAGACCGTTTTCCTTTTTTGCAAATGCCTGTTGTTAAGAGCTTCCCTGTCTAGCAATGCAAGTTATGCTTGCACAGCTAAGAGGGAGTGTTTTGCTT